GTTCGCTTCCTCTTCGGTGACAAGTGTCTGAACAGAGCCCAGGCTACTCCATGGCCCCAAATCAACGCCTACCTCCTGTTAATTTTTTTTCCCAGCTGAGGACCTAAATTGCAATTCCTCCATAGAGTTGAACGAAGCATGCTGGTGCACTTAAACTGCGGAGCAGTCGCTTCTTCTCCTAACCTGTAAAATAGAAGATTAAACTGCCCTCTGTTCCAGACCGTCCGCTGGTTTCCCATTTTACCCAAAGTAAAAGCCCAAATTCGTCTGTTAAGCTGCCTGGCGCTCTGCAATCTGTGACGTCCCATTCAGTGCGTGTCCGTGTCCCCGCTAAAATGAAAGTGTCAGAAGCGTTGGGATTTTATTTTTTCTGTTTTGTTCCCTGCGGTATCTCTGATGTCTTGCACATAGTAGACGATCAATAAATATTTGTTGAGCGAATAAATACCCTAGTTTAAAAAACCGAGTTTTGATCTTCATATAAGGAGCCCAAATAAAAGCCTTCATTAGATCTGAAGTGCCAAATACTTATGAGGCAAAGGTAAAGAGAAAACATCGGCTGTGCTTCTCCGAAGATCCAGGTTAGTACACTTTTGTCTAAGACGTTTCGCAGCTACTGAGTAAGAAGCAAAGAAAGGTGGTGGGAAAGCCTGAACCAGGGCAGTGGTAGAAGATGAAGAAATGAACACCTTCAGACAATTGAGCTGATGACACCTTTACAGGATGGAATACAGGGACCTATGAGATTGTCAGTGGGTGGCAGTGTTTGTAAAATAAAAAAAGCCTTGCACCACAAGTACTTTGTAAACAATTTTTTTTTCCTTCTGAGATGAAGCAAAGCAAGGATGGGTGAAGCTGGCAGAGGAGGTAATAGTAGGGAGGTCCTAAAACAGTAGTTTGGATCATTTGTGCCTGTTACACTACTTTTGGGAAACTTGATGGCTATATTGAAAGATGTGAATTTAGGGGGAGGAACTTTGGTGGAATATGGGAACACGTGGCAGACATTATTCTTGAGGTCCATGGGAGCTTTTAAAAATGAGCCTCTAATAATTGACCTAATAATCTAGGATCAAGATCACAATCAGTGCCTTTCCCTATGTAGCTGATTTTTCTATTGAAATTTAATTTTTTATTATTACTAGCAACTTAGGCATGCTTGACTCAAAATCATCATCCTTAAAGTCTTTTACATCTCTACTATATATAGTTGAATTCAAGTAGAATTTGTTCATTAAAAACACTTACAATAATTGGAAAGGTAAAAATAGTCTTAGTGTGTAACAATTACCTATATCTAGTATTCCAGTATTCTGTACATTTCTTTTCAAAAAAAAAAAAACCCCGACAGTTTTCCATATATATGCCTAGAGAGGTTTTACTGTCCCAGAAACAATGCATGGCTTGATGCCAAAACCAAGCAAGTTAGCAGAGGTAAAAATAATTTTTGATTCCACAAGTTAAGAAATCAGCTAAACTGAGGAGTTAGCATGCTAAAAACAGAATCACTTCTCCATTAGTAGGAAAAACACATTATTCAAATATGTATTATTGTTTTCAAGTAACTCAAGAAGTACTTTCAAAATTGTAGCCCATCTGTAAATGTTGGTATGAGTGTAATGTGACTTCATTGAAAATTACGATAATAAATGCCTGATAAATTTAACCTTATATTACCATAAGTAATGCCTTCATAGCAATATCAAGTTAAGCCTCAGGCTCTGAGATCAAAAAGCCCTAAGTTTGAATCACCACCCTGTTAGTTACTACCCAAGTGATTACAGCAAATTACTTAACCTCTCTAATCTTCAGTTTCCAGTTCTTTAAAAGGAAATACAAGTACCTTCTTCATGAGGTAGTTCTAATATCTGAATGAGATATTACAGGTTAAGCACAATGCCAAGCACACATTAAGTATTGAGTAAATGTTTTAAATAGGTAGTAGAGAAAGGTGACTCTTGAGATCATTACTCATGCTAAGTCTTTTATTAAACTGTAAATAGACTTAATTATAGCAAGTTTTAACCTTCTAGTTGAAAATTAGGAAACTCACCTTTGTCTAAACATTTGTTATGACTTTTTTAGAAAATTTATCTAACAATGAGCATGTATTCATGTGTAACAAGAAAACTTGTCTAATATTTTGAAATACCTGTCTCAGTTTAATGATGAAATATAAACACTACTTAGTCTACCATTCATTCATTTTGTCATCATTCATTTATTCTCCTCTTGGACTTTTCTCTTTCACCTACTCCTTAGATATTAGTATTTCCCAGGATTCTATTCTCTGATCTCTTTTCTCCTTAATTTACTCTCCTGGAGTGATCTTAGGCACATCAATGACTTCAGTTACTACCAATCTATTGATACCATCTTGTACAACCTCCATATTGACAAATACCAATAGAATGTCCCAATTAATCAAAATACCACAACTGAGACACCATCTGGATTTCTTATCTAAGGAATACAGGTAGTTGTAATATCCGCTAAGAGATGAAAGTGCAAACTTCTAAAACTTCCAAATACTCAGATCTTCTAGAATATATAACATCAGACCTTCTGGAAACTTCACTTTCCCTTCCGATCCTAGCTTACATGCATAAAGCTTGACTGGTCTTATACATAGCCTTCTGTGGAGACTGCCTCACTCAGGCAAGGTAGTTCATCAATCTCAGAGTTAACACAAGGTGCAACGTGATAGCTAAGATGCAGTACAGAGGCTATTCAGATACGAACAAATCCTATACCCTCAGCTTCCCTAGACTAACCAGCCTCATCCAAGTACATTCCTAAAGTTAGTGCTTTGGAAATAAAACAAGAAACTGTTGGCCAGGTGTCTTTGAAAGTCATGACATCAAGCCCTTATACAGACGTTAACTCTAGAAATCTTTTGAGAGATCCAGATACAGTATTCTACTGCCTACTAGACATATTTACCTGGAAGTTTCATTGGCACCTAACACTCCTCCCCAAAAAGGAGCTGGTCCTCTTCATACACCACCTTTCTCAATGAAGAGCACCATCATCCATCTGGTTGCCCAGACCAGGAAAGTAAGAATCAAACTTGATTCTTCCTGCTCCCCCATTTACCACAGCTAAGCTGAATCCAATTCCGTTCATTCATCCTCCTTTGTCACCTGCCAGTGCATCCATCATCATCATCTTTAAAACAGGTTCCAAAGTGTCATCCTCGCCTCTAGGTCATTTTCAGTTTATTTCCACATTGGCCCTAAAATGAGAAATGGGAAGCCCTTTTATAATTACTGTTTTAAGATTAAAGTTCAAAATCCTTTACATGGACTAGTTCGATTCTTTTGGATGCCTCAGGCAGGAGGGGTTCAAAGAAATAGTGCGTGTGAAAATAAGAGAGAAAGGAGTTTCAACCACAAAGCCGGGACCTATGGGAACACGGGGAAAGCTTGGCTTCACAGAGCCTGGTTTGAGAACTAGAAAGCCCCTTGACATCCATCACTGTTTGATTAGCCTCAGCAGCAGATGTGTTTTGCTTTCTTCTCCCTAGAATGCTTACTTATGACCAAGACACAGCTAGTCTCTGGCTCTGCTTAGATTCCTCCTGCCTCTACCACCCAGTTACCTCACTCCAGTTCTACACACCAGTGACGTTCTGTTTTCTTTTGGCTTCTCCTTCCTCATGACTTCAGCTTCCTCATGTCTTCAGCTACCTCATGGCCTCTGCTGCTTTCCTTATTTCTCTGTGTCTATTTAACTTCTGTCTCACTACCCTGCCAACAACATACTTCCCCTTTACGTGTCACATTCGAATTTCTAAGGAGAAAGAATCTAAGTGGTTCGGCAAATCGCATATACTCGGTATATTCCAATTTTGCTGTGCTTTTTGCTGGACCACCTAGTAGGTCACTGAAAAGATGAACTGTTTTGGGAGCAAGGGACATGCCTGGTTCAGACAGCTGTGGTAAGGGTGATTGGTTTATGTGGTCAAGATAAGGGGTTCACATGGTACAGAATGTGGGCATCTGTGCTGAAGAAAATGTATCAGAGTTCTGTGAGTTGAATAAATTAATAAGTATTGTTACTTGCAAATGTGTTTGTAAATGCTTCCTTACCCACTTTTTATCAGTAACATATTTTAATTATTATTTATAATCTAAAGTTTTCATATTTAGAGGTTAAAATTGTTAAATTCATAAATAATAGCTATTATGAATTTAATCTTAGATTTATTTGAGTCTCACTCTATTATTTTTCCTTTGTCATCATTAATTCTCTCTGAATTACTTTTCCTGAAATCAATCCATGTTTATAGTTTCCTTTTTCAAAGAATTTTACTTAGTCCAGAAATAATTAG